CATGTATATATCATTATTAGTATACACGTATATTATAGAACTTTTTACAACATAAACTAACACTGTACGGTTTTCAATTTTTTTGGTTCTCCGTTTGTCATTATATTTCGCCCCAAAAACTTATAAAAAAAAATATTTTCCTAACATGTTATATATTTCTATGTAGGGAATTAGATTGTCTACAAAATGTATATAATGAATTTCCCATAAAAAAATCCGTAGAAAAAAAATGCAGAGGCCGCTTTTGAAATTTCAAAAAGAAAATTCAAATTTTTTTATTTTTTTCACTTTACTGATAAAATACACTGTCTAAATCATTATGATATTACTATTTCTAGATTCTCCTGTTCTTTCCGAACAAAATGAATATGAGGTTGGCTAGGTTTACTTGTACGGTTGAATTTTTACGAATTTTCAAAAAATGGTCTGCAAAATCGCCAAAATGGGTTGGCCATTCCCCACTTCTAACATTGGCCACTGCTAACTTAGGGTTAACTTAAGTCCTACACTCATTCGAATTTAAATACCTAACTAACCAAACGGTATATCGAATGAAACAATCGAACAATCGATATTTTTATTTGAATGCGTGTAGGACCTAAAGTTAAGTGCAGCCACCGGTAGTCTAGCTTAGGCCTACACAATCATACACAGTCATTAGGGTAGGCCTAAATTGTCCAAATGTAAGTTAGGCCTATGTCAAATCAGATATCAGAAACTTTTTAAGTTACTGTCGTAATTTGCAAGGTACATACATAGGACATACATAGGATCGCTATTGTTTTATATATGTGTCTCTGACGAGGTCTATTGTAATCAATGATTATTTAATGACCAATAAATTACTTGATTACTTGATGACAAAGTCAACTATTTGGTTATAACTTAAGTTCAACCAAGAAAAGAAAACTAGCCTAGGCCTACTTAGATAAAACATAAATAAATAGACAAAATAAGTTATTTGTCTGGGCAGTCACAATAAACCAAAAATAGGTAAATAGGCCTAGGCCTATGGTAGTTAATCTAATAATTTAAGAAGTAATTTCACTGATTAGGCTATCTTACCTTTTGAATCTGTACCGTGGTAAGAGGCTGCCTCCCTCTTTGGACGAAAGCGACCGACATGATGATCTTACGGTGAAACTCAGTAAACCGAAGCAATACTTCTTAAGTTTTTTAAATTTATCTATAGAAACCTACAAATTTGATTGTCCGACGACAAATCGATTTTTCATTAGAATTCGATATCTACCTTTGAAATGCAGTAAAATTCCACCTTACGAGTAAAATAAAATGAAATTACTACTATGATTGATTGACTCAATCACCACATCCACATCCCGAACCGGCGCGGCGTCAAACTGAAACTGAAACTACAAAAAAAACATGAAAAGATGAAAGATGAAACACTCGACGTTCTGTACCCACGAGCACCTCATCTTCCACAAGCACAGGCCTTCGAACAGTTCCTGGGATAACAGCTATTTGTGTAATAGCTTCACTGTATCTTTATTATTGGAACCTGTTTAGATAGTTGTTATTTTCAACAGTTACAGTTGGCAGTTGCAAACTGTGCATTGTGATTTTGTAAAGGTGTTTATTCTTTCTTTACTGTTTGTTTACTTTTGACTTGAGCTGCTTGAAAAGGTGTTTTAGGCCTATGATTATGAAAATTAAAGTTTTGTGAGTGTGCTGAAACTGATTTGTTATTAGGTATTGACAATTAGCCTAAATGTTTTGCGTGCATGAATTATTTATGAAGTTTTAAATGTTTACTTATAACCTATATTTTTCGGATTCCTCAAGAGAGAGTGATTGTTAGGTTAGGTTAGGTGTTTGTTTGTGTGTGAATTTGTTAGATTGCAGTTTGGTAGTGGTAGGTCTAATAAGGTAAACTTAGGCATACTCTTATAAATAGATAAGTTATTAATTTAACTTTTTCAAAGGCAATAACTTAGACCTAAACTCCACTGAAAGGCCCAACTAACTTAATCAAATAAACCTAGACCTACCAACCACTACCAAAACTCCAATCTAAAAAATTCACACACAAACGCAACTCAACCTAACATTAACAATCACTCTTTCTTGAGGAATCCGAAAAAGATAGGTTAAGTGAACATTTAAAACTTCATAAATAATTCATGCACGCAAAATATTTAATTGTTAATGCCTAATAATAAATAATCAGCCTCAGCTCACTCACAACACTTTAATTTTCATAATCATAAAACACCTTTTCAAGCAGCTCAAGTCAAAAATAAACAAACAGTAAAGAATAAACACCTTAAAATCACAATGCACAGTTCGCAACTGCAACTGTTGAAACAACTATCTAAACAGGTCCAATAAAGATATACAGTGAAGCTATTACACAAATAGCTGTTATCCCAGTAACTGTTCCAAGGCCTTCTGTGCATGTGGAAGCTGAGGTGCTCGTGGGTACAGAACGTCGAGTAGATGAAACAACTCGAAAACGAAACTAAATACGAAAAAAGAAAAGATGAAAGCACAAAACAAGAGAGACACGACGACCCCGACGACGCAACCGAGCCTAAAATCAAAATCAGCCGAGCCGAACCGGAACCAAATGAAATGCAAATGATTAATGAATAGCAATAGCAATAACCTTTTCTATTCCTTTTTTTCCTGTTCTCTTCGTACAGACGTACAGTCACAATCACAGTAGGTCCACCACTGGAGCAATTAAGAGGTTGGCTGACTTGGTTGGTGAAGCCTTCGAGGCTGGCGATACAGTGACTCTCACAATGTGTGACTTGAGTCGTGCTTTTGACTGTGTCAATCATGATCTTCTGAATGGAAAGTTGAGGAGTTTAGGAGTAGGTAGCGTGGCACTGAGGATGATCGACTCCTATCTGGCGGGAAGACAGCAGGTGGTCTCCGTTGAGGGTGCAACATCTAAGCCCAAAAGTGTCAGGTACGGTGTTCCTCAGGGATCGATTGTAGGCCCGTTACTATTCCTTGTAATGATCAACGACCTTGATAGAAATGGAGGGGTTGTGCTCTTTGCCGACGATACAACCCTGATATCACGGGGACCCCAAGTTGAGCTGTCCACAGCAGATGCAAACCGGCATCTCACTGAAGCATCCCGCTGGTTTGAAGGAAATGGTTTCCAGCTCAACCAGGATAAAACCCAGGCACTGGTCTGCAGTCTGGCGAGAAATGCCCCACGGGACGAGCCAGTGAAGCTCCTTGGATTTCATCTGGATAGGAAGTTGGCGTGGAACGATCACATCAGCAAAGTTAGTAGCAAACTTTTTAGGGTATGTTGCCTGCTGCTCAAGCTACGAAACTTCATCATTCAGCCATACCTGCTGAACATCTACCATGCTATGTTCCACTGCCATGTGAGCTATGGCCTATTGCTATGGGGCCATGCTGCGGATGTTGAGGACATCTTAGTGCTGCAAAAACGTGCTGTAAGACTCATTACTTTTAGTGACCGCATTGCCCACTGTAAACCCATCTTCGCAAGATTGGGGATCCTCACAGTCTACAGCCATTATATCCTGGCTTGCTCACTACTGGTTTATGACAATTACGACAATCTCCAACTCCGTTCAGCATTTCATGACCACCAAACAAGGCAGCACGAGCCACTGGATGTGCCTAGGGTTAGGCTTGCAAGATCGCAAAGGAGCTATAATACAGTGGCAATTCAAATTTTTAATAAGCTGCCTCACTCGATCAAGCGTCTTGAGCGTAAACTTTTCATGAAGAGGCTCGTCCCTCTCCTTAAGTCAAGAGCGTACTACTCTCTAAAGGATTTTTTTGAGGATAGTTTTCCTGAATTGTCTGGCTAAACCGCATATCCACATGCCAAAGTTATTGTAAATATATGTTTGTATCTACTCAAATTCAGTTTGTTATTATGTATTTTTGTATATATTGAAATTCTGACGCCATCAATCCCTTATTGGGTAAAAGATGAAGACATGGTAATAAGGTAATAAGTCGTACACTCGAGTGACTCTGCTGACTCGAACTCGTAACGGTTCCTGTTCCTGCTGATGAATCGATTCTTGAATCGTGGTGATTCGTGCGTCCGTGAGTTTGGTTAGTTTTGTAAATTGTAGTGGCACACGGGAGAGACAATTGGCTAACATATCTTGTAGTGTCAGCGTTCGCCGCTAGAACCACTAAGTTGAAAAAGTTTAAATTAATTTTATAGTTTTTAATTATGAAATTAACTTTTTAATTATAAAATAACTAGCTGGCCCGACAGACGTCATCCTGTCCTAATGTGGTTTTATGACAAATGCTCGTTTATTTTCAAGATGAGATCGTTCGCATCGCATAGCTCAATCACGTCAGATGCTTTTTGCCTCACTACAACCACTCCAAAATACCAAACCATATGAAATTATGCTATGAAAGCAGCTATAGTTACCCTTAAGGAGAATCTCGATGTCATGTTTTTGAATGACATGTTCATGTTGCTCAATGTTTTTTTTTTTTTCAGGAAAATACTGAAATATCATTTTTAGTTTAATATTTTTATGTAAGACAAAGCCTATTGTAAATTACTTAATGACCGAAATAAATCTTGAACCGTCAACCAGCTTTTGTAGTCTACACAGCAGGTAGGTGACAGATGACAGTATGGGCGTCTGCAATTTAGTCAATCAACAAATAATAATCAATAATAATTCTTGTTCATACTACATGTATAATCAATGCTAATACATAATATTGAAAACATAAAAATCAATTTTTTCTTTAACATTTAAAAATCTAAACACCTTTAAACGATTGTTTAAGATTATAGAATACTACTTGTTTAAGCTATCGATTGATGTGTTATAAATAAAATAATACTGCTAAAGTTATTGAATTTTATTTGTATTGGGTACAACAAAACAACATTTTTTATAGTACGTTTGAACTTATCTTTATGTAATGTAAAAGGCACAGACTCGTGACGTTATGTTTCCCTTTATTATTTGTGTCTAAAATCCAGTTATGTGAGCGAAAATGGCGTCGTCTCTAGTAACTCTACGTTTGGGCGGTTTAGAAATTGATGAATGAATTCGTAATTGCGCTCTTTTTTGCTGTTAGTGTATCATAATATTTGACCGGTAAGTACATTACGTGTTTTGTATTAAAAATTTGTGTGATTGCTCCGTTGAATTCTTTGCATGGAGCATCATATCTGTTAGCTTTCTTTATTAGGCCTTAAATCCGAGGGTATTGGTAAGGCCCAAAACATTATTAGGCCTATTGTAATTAGTTTACCAATGTAAACATTGGTAAGTCTTTATTTAGTGATCTCTAGTAGACTTTTATTTTTCCATGATCATGAGTTTATTAGAATGTTAAGTAGGAGTTAGTTTAATTTAACTTAGCCTATTTTTGGCCTAGAAGTTTAAGTTACAGTCTTCTAGCCTAGGCCACCAAACACTGATAATAACTGTTTTAAAAATGAATTTTTTCCAGTGTCAGTGTTTTAATTGGATAAAAACAGTGGAGAAAACCTCTTTAACTAAGTTACTGTAACAATTTGGTTAATTAAATATAAGGCCTAACCTTAACTTTACCTTACCGAATCTATTTATTTATTTATTGGCAATGGATATCTCCATTTTACAACCGTACAAATAACATACACAACAGAAAACAGTTTAAAATGATGAAATAAGTTAGTTCATTGTACCCTAAATAAAGAAAATTAGCTTACTAACAGTCTAATGCAAAAAGGAACAGAAACAGTGAAATAAGGTAATTCTGAGCAATTACTTGGTCAACCCCAATTTTTTTCATACTTTACTACGGTCATCAGGAGGTTCTCAGAAAGCAAGAAACATATAATTCAAGGCCCGCAAGGCCATATTACAGGTTGCCGAGCGATAAGAAGGTTCAAAGTTTAAGCGATAACAGTGGCTTGCGGGAGACGCGCGGAAGGCCAGTTGTGACAGTACCGTTATGGCTATGGCTAGTGGTTCCTCCGACAATCCTCCCGGCGATTACTGAGTTAATTAATAACCTAACTTAACCTAACCTAATCTAACCTAACCTAACTTATTATGTTTTTTTAGTCTCAAATACATCTCTAAGGCCAATTGTAACAGTACCGTTAACTTACGTTACGTTAGGTTACGTTAGGTTAGGTTAATTAATAACCTAACTTAACCTAACCTAACTTAACCTTGCGGGGCTTAAATTATATGTTTCTTGCTTTCTGAGAACCTCCTGATGACCGTAGTAAAATATGAAAAAAATTGGGGTTGACCAAGTAATTGCTCAGAATTACCTGAAATAATACTGAAAGTGGAAGTCTAGAATAGTTGATAATCCTGACAATAATAACAAATTTTGTGCTTATAAGTTAAGTTAGACTAGAAAAAATTCAACAATATAATAACGATGTATAAGTTCATAACAACAACAATAATAAAGACAAACCTACCAGCTAAACAACAACCATCAAAATGGCTGCACTTTACTTTCGGTCCTACACACCCATTCGAATGAAAATAAGTTATCGATCGATATATCGATTAATCGGTTTTTTCATTCTATATCGTTTCGTTAGTTAGGTAAGGTTAACCCTCCCAGTGTTACTTGACGAAAATTCGACAAGCAGCACACTTTGTGTAAGTTAGTGTTACTTGTTGATTTTTCGACACGCAGACATCGTTTACGGCGAAGGCTCTATGACTGACTGAATCGGATTGAACTGGATCGAGTTAGGTATCGTTCTTTCCGTAATATTCTAAGCTTTCTCCAGAGGTCTGTCTCAGCGCTGTACGTTCTCTGAGCCGATCGTAATTGTAGCAGACAGCTGACGTGCGTGTATTTGTAAACAGCTCTGAGGTTACCCTCGGACCGATGACTGATGTGTTTTATTACGTTTATCATTGTTTTAGTGTTAAAAATCAAAAGTAGTGATATACGTGTTGCATTATAAGAAGATTTAAGTGGTTTTGAAGTGCTGGTTGATGATCCTGAAGAAGTAGGTAGTGATATTGAATGTAAATTATCAGCCAGATTCCTAGCTATGGTTAGGCTATGCATTCTTAGCTAAACGCTATCTACTGAAATCTGTTTTTTGCCCATAACTTATTTATTTGCAAATCTACTTCCTTATATTATTATATATTTGTAATCCTCATAAAATTTAGAACAAAGTGGCTATTTTCAAATATTTATAGGCCTATAATTTATACAATTTCATTGAGCGCAAACTTATTTTTTTTTTGAAAATTTTCGAAATTATATTTTTTTTTTCCTAAAAATTTTTTTTTTTGAAAAAATGTTCCTTATGTTTTATATATAATATTGAAGCCCATGATTTTCCAAACAAAATGGTATATAGAACATTAGAATTAACATTGTTTTAAGCTTCTCAGATCCGTTTTAATAAACCCTTGCAAATGCGCCAAAAATAGGTGGACATTAAGGCCTAAACTATGGACACTTGGAGGGTTAACCTAACCTAACTAACCAAACGACATAGCCTATCGAATGAAACAATCGAATAATCGATATTTTCATTCAAATGAAAATATCGATCGATAGGGGCTATATCGATTAATCGGTTTTTTGATTCGATATATCGTTTGGTTAGTTAGGTAAGGTTAACCTAACCTAACTAACCAAACGACATATCGAATGAAATAATTGAATAATCGATATTTTCGTTCGAATGAGTGTAGGACCTAAAGTAAAGAAAGTGCAGCCATCAAAATAACCAAAGTTATACTAATAATACCCCTTCGCAGCAAACCTGCAGACTAAGCGAATTTCAAATTGTCTGATTTAACATATTTACCGGTACTGAAATATTTCCATACATAAGTTAAGACATAACTTATTTATTCCAAATTTAAAAAAAAAACATTAGATTTAACGAGTGCTTAGGTTTGCTGCTACGGGGAAGGTAAACAGTGTTTTTGACCAAACGTCAATAAGTAGGGCCTATAGGATAAAATAAATAAATTTGCCAAATTTGATCAACCCTAAACAAGTAAACTACGATAGTTTTCATTTTCTCCGTAACCATTAGGCATAGGCCCTACAACAATGCTTCAATATACAAAATTTTATGTTTTTATGGTCCAAAATGGGAAAACCCATTAAAAACCCCCTTTAATTAATCGCAAGTGCAATAATATAGTGTAACCGTAAATTAAATTAAATAGCTAGACTGTACATTCATCCAGGTCAGGAATCAGAGATTCTTTGTATATAAAATTGTTCTTGAGTTTTGATAACCAGAAAGAAGACCTTGAATCAGTGTTGTATCTAGGGCTGGGAAACTTTAATTTATTAATGATCGCCGCCAATAGCTTACAAACAAGGTTTCCACTCATTGACGGCTCTTCAATGGCGGTTGTATAAAGTGTAAAGTATAAAATCACAACTGCAGTGGGTGATTGTAACAGAGGTTTATGGGTGATGCTAAACTCGCTTTTCCAATGTGTCACTTTCTGTTCCTACTCACCGTGTGATGCAATCGCTGGACCATACAGCCAATAGACCCATAGCCCATCTCTTAGGTACGTACCGGTACGCCTACCCAATTATTCATAACAACCTTTTCGACGACGATCCTTGATACTGGTACTTTTCCCTAGAGAATACACGGCCAACCTACTTAAGAAATTAAATTAAAACGTTGTGTTTAAAATTGTGGTTAGCTTCTTTTTAAATATTTACCATGGTTTTTTTTTATTTGCGGTGTCTTGCTATCTGTTGATGATTTAGCGAACTACGTTGACTCTGGTTGTAGCGCAGTACATCACCGTACGTTATTTGCTATACGTCAGACCGAAATATTTGAGAGCCAAATGAGTTCGCTCGACGCTGCGCCGTACTGGGACCATGCCTGCCATTTTGCGGGCCGCAGTGAACATTTAGGCCAAAAACGACCTCGGATAATCGGGAATGTACTGTATTAAGTTATGTTTTGTACACGGTATATAATAATGTTAAGTTAATTCTGCTGGCATGTTATTGACAAAACTAATTATGACACGTTGGTTCTCACAGCACCAGATATTCAAGGATAGCCTATTCTGCAATCCAAACCTGTTAATGGGATGAACAGTCCAACACCTTTTTCACGTTGTTTTTTACTCATTAGCTCGTACAACATTAAAGGGTCCATAGGCCTACTTCAATTTGTGTAACTACTCAGTCAATACACCGTCATTACTTCTAGATCACAATATTTAATACTGAGTTATTTCATTCCCCCACTAACTCTTTGTGAGTAAATAAGTGTCTCTGCCGTGTTCAATGCGTCGACTGCAGTGAATGCTAAAATCAGCCTTAGTGACACCAAATTATGCATCACAATTCCGACTTAGGTCTAAGCAGTTTGGTAGGAAACAAATTGATTTTAACGCTTAATATTTCTAAGGCTTAATCCAAACATGGCCAAGCTCAATTTTCCTGGTGAATGTGAATACAGCAATCATTGTCTATCAAGTGAGCCCAATTTGTCAGTTAATGCCTATTTCAATTAGGTTGATTAAAAAAAAAAGTTACTGTATCACCATGGTCAGAAGAGACACTTAAGTAATGAACTTTAAATCTGAGCATACCCCATCCAAACAATTATAATACACAGTATGTCATTGGGCTGAGAAGAGTGTACACCCTTTAACGCAATTTTGGTGCTAAATCAGGAAGAAGGATGTTTGAATTTGAATTACCAAATATGTTGTTGAGCTTGGTGATGCTTAATCATATTTTAATTGTTTCATTGCATGTTTTATTATTCAATTTCTTAAGTAGGTGTTAATGAACTTTAAATCTGGGCTAACCCTATCCAAACAATTATAATACACAGTACAGTATGTCATTGGGCTGAGAAGAGTGTACACCCTTTAACACAATTTTGGTGCTAAATCAGGAAGAAGGATGTTTGAGTTTGAGTTGCCAAATATGTTGTTAATCTTGGTGATACTTTATAATATTTTAATTGTTTCATTGTATGTTTTATTATTCAATTTCTTAAGTAGGTGTCAATGAACTTTAAATTTGGACTAACCATATCCAAACAATTATAATACACAGGGAGGACGGGGTACAGTGGGTCATGGGGCACACTGGGTCATTGGAAAATTTCCCTTAAGGGATATTTTTTTCCTGTTTCCAGTATAGTTTAGGTTGCCTACCTGCTAGCCCATATTGTGGAAAAAGATCAACAGATGGAGTGAAATTGTGAGGGAGATAGTTGGCTTTGTTTAATTTTGCCTCCATGCTGGAAAATTGTGGTTAGCTTCTTTTTAAATATTTACCATGGTTTTTTTTTATTTAATGTAACTTTCTCTATAACTACCTAAATGATCGCAGGCTGTTCTTATTCATTTAGATAATAAGACTTTATTGTTAGTATCATAGAATACATAATTACTATTCACTAAAAAATGGCAGCTTCCTCTGGGGTACAGTGGGTCACTTTGTTTGTGACACAACGGGTCCCATTGAAAATGCTTATGATATCATAAGAAAAAGCATATGAAGTGAAATACATGAGAAAAATGTTGCCAACTCACAATATTGTGTTACATGAAGAAGGAATGTATTTGGCAGACCATAAAGACATTGACAAAAAACAACCAAAACAAAAAAATATATCCTGGTACAGAAAGAAAAATAACTAAGTTGACATTTTCACTAAACTTTGAATCATATAATGTGCATTAAGACATTATTTGTATTGAGCAGCATTTCTCAAAATAGCTTTTTCAGTTTTGCAAATTGTGTTTCCAGGAATATAACATGTTGGTGTGATACTTTGTTCTTTTTTTTCTTTATGACCCATTGTGCCCCACTATCTAGTGTAGTAAAACTTAATATTTAGTTGCAAAAACAATTTTGTTATAATAAAAGAAATGCCAAGCAATAACAATAAATATTTAACTCAACCCCTAATGAAAAATACTATGAATTAAAATTATGAAAGCAAAAAGTGACCCACTGTACCCCGTCCTCCCCTACCTATGTCATTGAGCTAAGGAGAGTGTACACCCTCTAACGCAATTTTGGTGCTAAATCAGGAAGAATCAGGAAGGATGTTTGAATTTGAATTACCAATTCAAAACTTAAGTCAAACCTTATTTCTATCAATTCTAAATTCTAATTAGAAACCTTGTTGGTGATTCAAACACAGATATGAACGAGATGAAGCAGGAGATGTCAGTGGCTAGCACATCAACATGGGATGCGGGACCACACGAGACAATGCCGACGATGCCAATCCTGGTCCCCACACCTATAAAGATGGTTCCTCCCCATCACCACCCACCCGTCCCACTCGACCATCACGTAATGCCGGTGCCACTCATGCCGCAAACTCCCCATGTAAGTAAATTGTAAAATTGTTGCTTGGTTTAACTTACAGTATTTCAGTAGCATTGCTTGTCTTTTGTAAAATAGTTTGGTCCACATCTCGGTTGTGCTTCTGTCATACTATAACTGTACTGTATGCTTTTTTATTGCATAGGGGATGCCTGTACCCGGGCCCTTCATGGAAGACTTGCCACCTGAGCTTGTGCAGCAGGGGTGGAAGAAGTTGTGGAGCAAACGAGAGAATCGTCCGTACTTCTGGAACAAACTTACGGGGGTCTCTCTATGGGAGATGCCTAACAACAAGCCACAGGTTAATATAAGGGTTAACCCTTTGAACTAGTGTACCTGTTGCTCGAATTCGAGCAATTGTGAAGTATTACAGGCGCTAGTTTAAAAAGCCATTATTTCTGATGACTTTAAAAGAATCAATTCAAAGATTATGGAAATATTCATGATGTACATAACGGTTCAATACAATCAACATTTAATGTAAATATCTTATCATTTTTCAAAAGCTGATATTGTTTTTTAGTGTCTTCTGCAAATGTTTCCCAGTCATAGCCGCATTAGGTTGTCCATAATAATGATTATTAATTCTAAAAAAAACATTATTTCTATTTCTTCCATTTGGTGGTGTTTTATGACTTTGATAGTTTTTTTTGAAAAACTCAAGTCTAGCTGAATAATAAAATACTTGCTAAAAAAATACTCAACCATTTGAGTACTTGCCCACCCGTATAGTTGATCATCTGATCTAGTTGGTAATCTGATTTTTCCTACAGCACTGCATTGTTTAGTCCACTCTTTTTGGGTTCATGAAAACAACTATAGGCTAGCGGACCATACAAAAGCAATCGTAGGGGAATGCTTCTATCCAATGAAGATTTCACAGTTGAGAGCTGGTAGCCTAAAATTCAATTTGAAAAATTAATTGGATCCTACAAAATTGACATGACTATGTCTTAATTCAAAATTTGAGAAATGTTATCTGTTTACAGTTTGATCCGATCACGGACCCTTTGGGCATAAGTGGACCAGGAGCGATGATCAATGGACCACCCATGCCTGTCAAACGAAGGGCCTCTGAGGAAGTGGTGGGCAGTCCTGTAGCTAAGAAGTTTATTCTTGCGTGAGTAATTTTTAGCCTACCTTAGACTATCCATATAACTAGACATTCCTTTCCCATATTAAGGTTATGGTGTTAGAATTGAGTCACCGACCAAGTTATGCTGATGTAAATTAGGCCACTTATATCTCTTGAATAAACACATTTGTTAGCTAAATCAAACTTAAGAAAGAAACTTTTTGTCTGTAGCATCTTCTATTGCACATTAACCATCACTGTAATAATAAAATGAGAGAGAATAGAATAAATACCCCGCCGCAGCAAACCTGCAGACTTAGCGAATTTCCATTTGCCTGATTGGATTTACACTAAAAATATCACATTTATTTATTCCTTATTTAAATAGAATTAGTTTAACGAGTACTTAGGTTTGCTGCAGTAGGGAGGGTAAAGAAGTGTTTTTAATGTAGGTACTATAGTTTAGTAAGAAATTAATGTATTTTTCAAATTTGATCAAAATATGTTCATAAACAAGCAAACTACAACAGTTGACTTATTCTCCATAAGATTAACATGGAAATTTTAAAATTACAATTTTTTTTTAAATTTTCTCCGTAACCATTAGGCGCATAATAACGCTTCTATATACTAAATTATTTGTTTTTTTAAGCTCTACAAAAAGGTTTAGAAAGAAATTGTGAAAGTTCGTGTTTTTAGGGTCAAAAATGGGAAAAATCTATTTTTACCCCATAAAACACCCCATAAACTCCTGTTCCCATAGTCCGATCATGCTGGTTCGCGAACTCATTCAAGTTTATCCCGCTTTACATCTTTAAACCAAATTTCATCAAAATCGGACAAAAATTACTCAAGTTATCGCGTTCACGGACACATATATATCTATACTTATAAAAGGCAAAGCCCTCACTATATATATAAATCTATATATATATATATACATATATAAAAATTTGAACGAATGGTGTTTTTGGCCTCTGGGGACATCAAAATGAAAAAGTAAATCGGTCCTGGGCCTAGGTCTTACCATGCCACCTACGGTAATAGCTACTTCCCTATAGGGAATTCGCTAAAATGAACATTAGTTGAATTGAGCCTCTAACAGAGTGTGCTGGTCTAAATTTATGATTTCAACAACTTTCTGACTGACTCTTCAAGTAGGGCAAGTATGTAATTTTTTGATAAACTATTGGCTAAGCTGGTTTATTGATGGCACTTTAAATTTAATTGACTTTCATTTTACATTTTCTTGGACGGATCCATGTTGATAATTCTTTAGAGACTTTTGGATAAGATATTTTTTTATTTCTATTGCTAATAAAATACAATGGTTGAGAGTGTTAAGTACCTATAACAAACAGCAATATAGTCAAGAGCAGTGTTCAGTTTGTAAAAAATAGGTGCCGGAACTGTAACCTATCTACCAATTTACGCCAATATTTTTATCCTTCTGAAAGGAAGGTACCGGAACTAAGTTCTGCCGCGTTCCCCACAAATCGAGGACTCTTCAAGAGAAACAAAAAAAAATTAGAATAGTGGCCTAATTAGAATAGTGACTTGGCATTTCTGGTGTATATTTGACTTTTGTCAATGCTTATGTAGCCTGAAAGACAATAATAAACAATAAAAAAAAAAACAAAAACAAAAAAAAACAGACATAACTTATGAATTCAGAAGCAGATGGCTCATTATTTATTACATTTTTGGGTTGAGGTTTTGTGTTGAGGTTTAGTATTGATTTAACTTCCAAGTCTGTGTGTGAAACATTCTGGAGAAAATTGGACATGGAAGAGGTCTAATAAAGTTTTAAGAAACTATAATTTTTAAACGGTTTCAATGTAAAACAAGAAAGAGGCCTATTGTTTGGACTTAAAAAAAAAAATTAGGGCAATTGTTTGTAGCCTACCATTTAAATCACTGATAATTAGGCGTCTGCAGGCCTACTGACCTTCGAGTTGGGCCAAAATTGGGGTGCGTTGTAACTTATTGGTATGTTAAAAGATATATCCTACAGTAAAATGATCACACAAAATTGTGAATGTCTCCTGCGACCATAGAAAATCGTGAAATTTTGAGGGTGCAATCCTAGCAGACACATTTTGGGATTACAATTACATTGCCCGATGCAAGAATAAGAATCGGCCAAGTTTCATACCTCTAATGTAAACTACCCGACCCGAGCTTAGCCCTAGATATATTTCTCTCTCAAACTGATCTCTTGAGGTAAATTATTGGCCTGGACTTATTCATTTATCGTTTTTATGTATACTTATGCAGGGGACCTTGGGACTTGGAGATATCTACGAATGTCATCATCTACGAGAGGCCCCCCATAGTCATCCCTCATCCCCATCCTGAGGTAGAAGCTTTCCGCTGTTCTTTACTGACCAAACTACGCAACTGCTATCAGGAGCTCTGTCACTCAAGGGAATGTAAGTAGAAATGTTCAATATTGTTGAATAAGCTGTGTGGTTGTTTTGTATACCTTCAACAACGATAAAAATTTGATATAGGTTGTTATAGGATAAATGAGACTGCAGCATGTTAGTGATTTTGGTTTTTATCAGTATTCTTGCCGTTGGTGCTATACACTAAACCAATAAAAAATTACTGCTGAGTCAAGGTTTCTAAAGCTTTACTTGACTAAGGTAAAACGCAGGGCCGGATTTAGCATTTTTGCGCCCCTAGGCCCAAATAATTTTCCGCCCCCTAGTCTGGTCACAGTTAGTTACTTTCCTTCAAACCTTTATTAAAAACTATATCATAACTATAGGCCTAAGTTTATTGCTCCACTCCTCGTTGGAATAATAGCAAGTTTTTTTTTAAAGAATTGACTTGTTTAGCCTTAACAAAATGCCGTCTTAAAAACACTTTTTGCAATTTTATTCTTTTAATAAATGCTCACATTTGTGGCCGTGGGACTGAAACAAAACAACTCAACCCACCGAGCATTCCTGAAAAAAAAACAAAAAAAAAACATGGCCATTGATACCAATTCCAGGCCCAAAAACATGAACTCCATACAGTACGTGATACCATAGATTCAACATACTCCGTTAGTAGATTTGTCATCAATTTGGATTGACTTACTTCACTTATTTCCTGTCGCTCCTTAGCGGGAGCATAGGGCATCGAGAAGAGCTCGCCATCCATCCCTGTCTTGCGCCAGGTCCCTCAGTTGACCCCAGGTCTTCCCGACACTCAGGCTTCCTTCATTATTGTTCTCCTCCAGGTGTCACAGGGTCTTCCTCTCTTTCTGGTCCCTTGGGGATTCCATTCCAGGGCCTTCTTTTCAATTGCACCATCCGTCTTCCGAAGAGTGTGACCCAGCCACCTCCACTGCCGTCTTCTGATTTCTAGGCTGATCTTTTGTTGCCCTGTTGCCTCCCAAATCTGTTCATTTGATATAGTGTTTGGCCAGAACACTCTCATTATACGTCTGAGACACCTGTTTACAAACACCTGGAGCTGAGAAGTACTACGCTGATCCATTTTCCAAGTTTCACTGGCATATAGCAGGACAGACTTGACGTTTGTGTTGAAGATGCGGATTTTGGTTTTCATTGAAATATTTCTATTTCGCCATATTGGGTAAAGCTGAATAAATGCTGCATTAGCTTTCCCAATGCGGCTCCTAACATCTTCCTTTGCTCCTCCGTCTGCTGTGACTTTACTTCCGAGGTATTGGAAAGAGTCGAGACCTCTTCGATCACCTTCCCATTTATTTCTAAGGCTTGGGCTACTCTGGAATTCAACCTCATTTCCTTTGTCTTATTTACATTTATCTTAAGACCCACCTCTTCAGCCTCTCTTTGTAGAGAACTTAGTTTCGCCTGAATATCAGTGTACCTCTGGGCAATCAAGCAAAGGTCGTCAGCAAAGTCAAGGTCCTCCAGCCGCTCCCTCAGTCCCCACTGCACTCCCCTCCTTCTATTATTTGTTACTCTCCTCATAACTGAGTGCTTGGGTTGCACCAAAAGGAACAGTATCGGTGATAAAATGCAGCCCTGGCGAACACCTATTTTAACTGGGATTGCTCCTGTCAACTTTCCTTGGTGCGAAACCTGACACTGGAAATCATCGTACATGGCCTTGATAATATTTATTATTTTAGGGGGTATCTCATATTCTTGTAGAACATGCCACAGCACCTGGTGTTCACTGTGTCAAAGGCCTTCTCGAAATCTACAAAAGCCAGGCAAAGAGTACTTTGAAATTCCTTGCTCTGCTCAAGTAGGATTCGGAGAGTACTGATTAAATCCACACAACTTCTTGCTTCACGGAAACCTGCCTGTTCTTTCCTCAGTTTCAGTTCAATGGAACCTTTTATCCGGTTTAGGATTATTCTGGCCAGCACTTTGCTTGGGACTGACAAAAGGGTAATACATCTCCAATTGTTACAGAGCGTTACATCCCCTCTCTTGGGTATTTTGACGGCTATACCCTTCTTCCATTCCTTTGGAGTTCTCTCCTCTTGCCAAATCTGTTGAAGTAGTGGATGAAGTAAGTCCGCGGCTACATCACCAGCTTTTAGGATCTCGACCGCAATGTTGTCTAAACCAGGGGCTTTGCCATTTTTCAGGCTTTTGATCGCATCTTTGATTTCCTCAATTGAGGGGATTTCTAGATTTATACCATGGATTTATGGCACTGGGCGAGGTAGTGGCAAAGCCTCGTCCTGAGCTTCTGCTCTATCCAGTAGTTCGCTGAAGTGTTCCTGCCATCTATTCAACTGGTCTTCAATGTTTGTCACCATTTCACCACTCTTACTTCTTACTGGTTTTTCTCTAGCGAAGTTCTTCTTTGCCAGTTTCCTTGTAATGTCGTTAAGCTTTTTGCTATTACCTTGTCTAGCAGCTTCTTCTGCTTCCTGAGCCAGTTCATCAACCCATCTTCTTTTGTCTCTTCGCACAAATGTGCCTCTGAATATTCTTGATAGACGTTTTGCTTTTAAAATCTGGTTTTGGAGCTGTCATATTTTGTTTTCAAAATCTTCCTTCGGTTTACTTCAGTCCACGTTTCCTCCGACATCCATTCCTTCTTTTGCTTATTCCTGTACCCTAAAACATTTTCACTAACCTCTTCAAAAACTTGCTTCACATTCTTCCAGATGTTCTCCACCTCCGAACTCAAGGCACCACTGTCAGCCAAGACTTGATACCTATTTGTGGTTTCAATAACAAAATTATTCTTTATTGCTGGGATTTTCAATTTATCAATGTTGAACTTCCTGCCTATACTCATCAATTTGGATTAGCTGAAAACAATTCTTGTTATTTAAGGAGTATGTTTTTTTCTATTTTTAAACCTAGTTTATCCAAAATAAAACTATATAATCATCAACAATAGGTCGTCTCCTGTTTATATTACAAGAAATTAAAACACACATCATATTACTAATCCTAAAATAATAGAAACAAAATTACGTCAAAACTAACGTCCAGTGTCACCAACATGAGCTAGACATAAAAAATTTTGAATTAACAATGTCATAAGAAGTCGACTTGAGTTATATTTAGGGGTGTGCGAGTACTCGAATCTTCGAGCTTTTTGGTCGAGCTTTTCATTATTCGGCTCGGCTCGAGGCATTTTGAAAAAGCTCGAAGTTCGAGCCGAGCTTTTAATACTAAGTCAAAACTAAAAAAAAACACTTAATTTGGGTCATAATTGAAAACAATGTTATCACAATTCTACGTTGTTCATGCATTCGAGGTTTGATAAGCACGAACCTCAGCTCAGTCAAAACGCAATGATTATCGATCGTAATTTTGAGGAGATAGGAAAGAGACAAACGACCACCTATCGCGTTGTCTTTCTAACAGCTATTCTTAATTCGTATCGTAATATACAACGCAGTGCGAGTGCGCGATTGGCTTGTCGCTATGACGACACACGGTTGCCGTGACAACCTACAGTGCGCACTGAGCACTGCGCCTTGTGTAGGAGGGGAGATTATATCAACAAACAATTTCAGGAATTCTATTTTGGGACGGATGAAAGATAAGGAAGAAACAAAAAGTGGTCACGTGTGCAAATGTAGTGGGCGACACAAAAAGGCTGTAAACGAGTATCGTCGTGTCGTTGTTCCTTGTTTGTTTACTTTTTCAGATTCCTTATCAACCGCCCCTATCTGCTATCTCTCTTTCTCTCTCTCTCTTTCTCTAACAATGTACTGATTAAACAGATTGTGGTTGACGACTTTTCTACTTTTAAGTTTCCCTGCAGTTATTTTACTTCAATCAATCCTATAACCTTTCTAATGTTTATAAAAATAATTAATTATCTGTTTTGTATTTTATTTCCTTTAAACCAACCCCTATTTACCATATGTATTTTATAGAATAAAATGTTTGTTTATAAAGATTGACTGGCCACACAATTTTGTACCTTTTTTATTTTGTATAAGTATAAGTAAAGTGGTGCGTGCTGTAGTGAATGCTTTTTATTATCAAAATAAGTAATGAATTATTAATTTTTGATAATAATACATGGCTCATTGAATACCATAATGTGATGTAGTTTCCTATTTGTAACTTGCAAATAATAATAATTGATAGTTAATTCTGGAAAATGAAAAATAGTGATTGCATTCATAAACCTGTCAAAACAGCAACACGGGTGTAAGGGTTTATTGTTTCATAGGGGTACAAAAGACGTGGGTGTTTCAAGGACAAAGTGTTGGGCCTCCCGGTTTAGGGGGGAGGGGTGGTGGTGAGACTGCAAGAAGGGGAGGAAACTGGTTTTGGCTATTTATTGATTAGTTCGCCGACCCTTTTAGATAACAAAATTGAGTGACAGTGTTAATTCATAGTGTTCTTTATTTCATTTCTTGTTTACTTTGTGTGTTATTCTATTAATTTTAGTGTTTTGGTCTATTTCCTCCATGTCAATTATATCTTTTTTAATATATAAGTTTACTTTTTACTTGTCTCTCCACCTTTTTGGATCCAAACCAACTATGTTCTTTTTTGATTAATACGATTGATAAAACTAAAATTTTTTGTGCATGGAAAACAACAAGAATAATCATGTGTTTTTAAATTTATTTTGTATTTATTTATACAAAATAGAATTAAATATTCATAGTAGTTACAATATACATAATAATGTAATCGACTTGCTAGTTGTTTTGTCATCGTCATTCAAGGTCGCGTTGCTGTTCTGTTATGAAAGACAATCTGATTGTCTCAGTCTGCACTGCATATCTCATCAGGCCTTCAATTATCCTTTTATTTCTTGCATCTTAATTTAGTTCAGTTCAGTTCTTATCGTGATTATCTACTATTTTATGTCTTGACAATTCTCAATGTTTTTAAACATAGCCTATTAAAATAACATTGTGTTTATTTAAAAAATTATTATGCACTTTTAAGAAAAAAAGTTTAATAAGGTGACGCTAGAAAAAGCTCGGCTCGAAAAAGCTCGAGCTCGAAAATTTTTGAAAAAGCTCGGCTCGGCTCGAGGTTGAAAATCACTATTCGCACACCCCTAGTTATATTTAATCTATGGTCCTACTGCATCCAGGTTATATTTCCAAAGCAAAACAGAGCAATAATCCGGCCAACCGTGACACCGATCCTTAGGTCTGAGGAGAAAATGACAGCATTAATGGTGCTTTGGAGGGTATTGAATTTTTCTAAAATCCAATGCAAACTGAGATTAATATTTTTTTGTTCATTTTAAAGGTAAATTCATCGTTGTTTTAATCAACACAACTTATTATATATTTTAACTTGATCCTGCAGATTGTTGTAATGTAAAGTAATAAAAAGATTAGTTAATAACTTTTCTTTGGTGAGGTGAGGGTGGTAACAACGTCTAACACACATGCGCCCCTAAGCACTCTGATCAGTAGTGCCGAGCCCGAGCCAGCATAGTGGCAGTGCATTGGCAATACGATGCGAACCCCTTGGGCGCTTGTCAACGTCAACATCCCTACAGCCTACTCCCGTATAACCAATGTTCGTTACCAATTTTGTAACAAAATTGATGCGTAATTCTGAAAAAAATAGATTAAATTTATTTCCTAACAATTATTTTTTTTATGAACTTCAGAATCACAATACTTTGGAGTTTTTTTATCAACTATGACTATTTATTTTTATTTTTAAATAGCCTAGGTTTAAAAAATTACTCTCGACCGTGTGCCCTCTAGGACCTTGCGCCCATAGGCCCGGGCCTACCGGGAAATCCGGCCCTGGTAAAACGGTAGCAATGTCAACAGTGTACAGTCATAACTAACACAAATAGTGAGTGCATGATTTCACAGTGAATATTTGGTAGTCTAAAGAAAGGGTTGGATGGCACAGAAGGTTGGGTACCCAAAGATCAGATAATTGAGATTACTGCATGTATCGTCAATACCAGAAATCATGAAACTGCATATTATTGTCATGAGAATTTGGAAAAATTAAAATCATTTAAGTTAACTAATAATAGAAAAAAATATGCAGTATCTCTTTAAAAATCAAAGAGTCAAGGAGTCTGTATAATATATTGATATGATCAGTTACAGCCCAAGACTAGACACGTCTGAGAATTTGTTCCACAGAGCCTGTTTTTATTGATAATGATCTGTTACAGCCATAGATGCACCAAAGGACTCGTTCAACAGATGGTTGATGGAACGCAAGGTTGTTGACACAGGTACAGACCCACTGTTGCCAAGCCAGTGTTATCCTGAAATATCTCAGTGCATGTACAAGGAGATAATGAACGACATTCCCATCAAGCTGGTGCGACCAAAGTTCACCGGAGACGCTAGAAAGCAACTTTCAAGATACGCTGAGGCCGCCAAGAAAATGATCGAGTCCAGGTGGGTTTTTGTAGCTTTCTAAATAGTAAAATGCTTTGATTTTTACAAGTCAAACGTTTTTACATGTTTCATGTGATTTTTTTTTGTTTTTAATTAGAAACTTTTATGGACCATAAAATGATGGTTATTGAAACTTTTCCTTCTTGTCTGAGGAGTTTTAAAAATTGTACCATAGACTAAGCAACACAAATAGACTTCTCATCCCATTGTAAATTTTGAAGCTCGTTCTTTGTTTCTAGTTCATGTACGTCGACACTGATTGCTAGTGTAGTTGAAATTTTGTTTCTATTATTTTAGGGTTATTTCCATGATTTGTGCTTTACTGTTTGGCTGTATAACTAACTAGGAGACCGGTTATTGTTTATGATTAGATAGTTTTATTCGGTTAAACAAAGTTTTAAATGACTGAAATAACAAGAAACAAATTGTAAACAAAATACGAACTCTACAGTGTGACGTACAGAACCAACAATAAAATTGGCTTCAGCTGTTCAGAAGGATGACAAATCTACTAAGGGAGTATGTTTTATCTATGATTGCACAGACTTATATTTGGATTAGAGGAATGTATGTATGACGCAAAATTTACCTGGACACATTATTCATGGATTAAATGTGATACATTACTTCAACTCACTTATTGACACCAACAAATGACTGAGAATTGAAACATTTTGTAGTTACAGGCCATCATAGTCTAAGCGGTGAGTCTTGTTCTCATTCCTTGTTCTTCAACCTGTGTCAAATAGCACTGTCATTATGGCTAACTAATTTCATTGGCCTACTAGGCCTAACTGTGCACAATTATAACTTATACCATTATTTGTCAAAATGAAATCACTCAACTAGGCATATTCAATTCCATAACTTGTCATCCCATCCACAAACTAACTTTTAAAAAGGAAAAACTATCAGAAAAATAAAAACAATACAGTTTTTGTTTATTTTAAAAGGTTTAAACTGTATCTCACAATAATTTACAGCTAAGAACCTGTAATTAAATCAACAAAACAAACCGCTAACAACAAACATTTAAACAGATAAATCAACAACACACGAATCAGCTTTGTAAAGCCTATTGGTTGATGCTTAGTAGTGCCAACCTACTTCTGTTACATTTGCTGCGATTTTAGCCAATTTTATCAAAATATGATCATTTCTCGCACAATCTTAGCCATCTTGTTACGAGATGCGTCTGCCTGCATTCAAAGGGTTATCAAACAATTATGATTAAAAAAAGCAAACCCATAAACTTGTACCAAAAAACTGGATATAAAATATTTTGTGTACAGGAACGCCTCACCAGAAAGTCGCAAAATTGTTAAATGGAACGCGGAAGATACGTTTCAATGGCTTAGGCGGACAGTGGGAGCAACATACGACGACTTTCAAGAGAGGCTCGGCCATCTCAAGGTAATTTCAGTTCAGTTTGAGTAAAATTATTAAAATTAGTTTTCTTTGGTATTTTTTATGGTGTCAATGTTTTAACTTTTACCATCAATTTGTATTTTAATTTGTACGAATATAAATGTTTTTTAATTAAAAAATGAATTTAAGAAAGGGAATTGTAGAACTATTTGTTTATATCTACTTCTCTGGATTTTTTGTAAGGGAACGGTCCAAACATACAAATATTGGACAGTTGAATAAAATATAATTTAGCTTACAAACAGAAGCATTATATATAAATCTATATGTATAAACCTATTATGTGAACAATCTTTACATCTTGGTTCATCCTAGTTAAGAGTCAAAACTATAAAATAAACCAAAACTAAAAATATTGTTCAACACTGAACTGATTCTCTGTAAATAAAGAATAGTTGCAGTTTTTTAGTCATGCTTTAGGAGTTTTGTTTTGATAATGAAAACTAAAACTCAAATGTGCTAAAATTTCCCCCACCATTACTATTGTTGAACAGAAATCGCCCCAATGTGTCCATCCATAAATCTTCACTAAACAGATCTAAAAATTATTAATTTATTTCCCGTTTCCCTCTCACAAGTAATTGCATTCTAAATTATACAGTTAAACCTCGATTAACCAGGGACAGATCAACCATGGTCAATCATAACCTCCATAAAAATACCAGGAAAATTCATTAATTGTGCTTCTTTAGTCCTATGTGTTGTAATGCATAGTATATTTAACTATTTCTGACCATTATTGATATGCAGTAGGCTCCCACATTATTGTTTTTGAAACATCACAGTTCATTTGACAAATTAAAATGGAAGCATAATAAAGAAATATCAGTCAATAGCTTCCACTGACAGTCTGCTCCTTAGTCCTTACACATCTATCTGCTGTACGCTAAGTCACAATAGTAGCCGACATTATGCTTGTGATTGGGTAATAAGTAACCATGGCAACTTTTGAAATGTATGGATGAAGAGAGGCCCAAGAAAGAATAGAAGAACAAAGAAAAAGAATAATCTATGTTTTTATATCATTGCTGTTGAAATATGATTTGTGAGAATAGTTCATTTTGGTATCACATGTGTTCAGTACAAATTAGTTGTCATGGATACCAGATGTTTTTTTGTAGAAAGCTATGTTGTGGTTTTGTATCGAGTAAAACTTGTACCTAAAACACCTTTCTCTTTATCATTCTACATAATTTAAGTCCATTTACAACAATTGCTATATCTTTATCTTATATTTATGAGTGTTGTTATTATCTAAGTAGGCTACTATAATTTAAATTTTTTTTATTAGTTAGGGCCTATTAAATGTTTTTATCTACATTCTTCTTATTGCATAAAAGCACTCCTAAAATGGGTATAAAGATAACAACATAAAACTTCAGTATTCTTTCTCTTTGTTCTTTTTATAGGATTTTAGGTTTTGCTGAGTAATAGTGGCCAAAATCGCCATCTCAAACAGCTTCTCCACTAACAGGCAGAATAGTGATTCAGTGAACCTATCGTTGGGAGAGTTCGCCAGAACAATCTCTTTTCTTCCAACCCATGAGTTGGTCTTGGGAGTTTCCTCTGCTGTATTCCTAGACATATTTCCTGCTCCTAATCACACAAGCAGCAGTTTGACGGCCACACCCATCAATACCCTCTACAGCCCTGCTGCACTCATACCAGAACTGGAGAGTAGTGCAGCAGCACCTGCCTGCTGCTCAATGACACTGAGCACAACCGGTCTCCATCACCCCGGCCCCAAGTTGCTATTCCCCAACTCTATGGCAATTTTAAGGCTTAGACAGCTAAATTTTGGAAAATTCATTGTAGGTTATATGTCATCTACCAAGTTAATAATTGAAAAAAAATTCAAGTTTTTTTTCCTTACAGAGACAGTGTCAGCCACACTTGACAGAAACGGTGAAAGATTCAGTGGAAGGAATCTGTCTGAAAATTTACCTCCTGTCTTGTGAATACGCCAAGAAGGTTCGGGAAAAACATTATGAACTGTTAAAGGATAATGGTATACCAGGTAACACTACTTGTTCATGTGTTCTTCTTATAGGTCTACAGATTTAATTAGGAGTTGTATAAGTAGCTTAGTTTTGATTTATACCCGACTTTACTACCAGCATACATAAGTTGACATAGCTTATGAAGTGGACCCAACTGTCCTTGATCACTGGACTTTTAATAAATGGTCCTGTGTAATGAAATTTTTGGTCTTAGTTTAAAAATATCGTGATATCAGTCCAGGGAGCTGAAGCCCCACTGGTCTGGGGCTGCTATAGGACCAGGACCTCTTCAGCCGCCAAAAACCAGTAAACCAGTAACAAAGCTATACAGATCATCTCACTCCATTTTACACTCATCCTTCACTCCTATTTGGGTTAAATACGGTACCCCATCTCAAATTGATAAATAATGATCATATGCTATGCCCTAATGTCAGAAAAGAGAAAAGACTGTTGTTGTTTTAAAATTAGTGATGGGTTGATTCCAGAAATATGTGATTCCGGTTCTTTAAAATCGATTCCGATTCCATCGATTTCATAAGTTAAAAACTTTAAAAGTTATAAATCCTTTCAAACACATGAAATAAAAACCATATTGTAAGTAAAGGAAGATAGCCTATTACGTTTTATCATAACTAGAGGTGTGCCTGCCTCGTTGTCCCCCATGGTCACGGCAAAATACTGAATACCCTGCACAGTAACATAAACATTGTTATCTTCTCCTGCAATCTTTGTAAAAAATCATTAGCAAGCGAAAAAAAAAAAAAACTATCTATACATGGTAAAAGCCTGCCTAATTGATAACAAAATAATTAATTGACAGATAGAGTAGCAGCGTTGTGCGTTTTGAGCAGCAACGTAAAGGTCAGCCTGTAAAGTTATGTGCTTGAGCGTCGCCGGCACCGACATGATAATATTGGATTATGGATTCCAAAATCATCACTACCTATTAGTTAATATCCATCATAGGTTTGTTGCTAATCTAATGGTGAATATCAATAAGGTGATTGTAATTGTGCTTTACACCATTACCTGGATTATTATTTCAAAAATTATTTTTAGAAACTCTTATTATTTCCTTATACAATTTATACAGTAAGCATTAAATTAAGCAGTCGGGAGATATCAGGAGTTCTTGAAGTACTGACGCGAAAATACGGGAATTTTAAAAAGTCAGTTCTCTGGACACCCTGTAACAATGAGGATAAAGCACATTCATTGTGCCTAATTAATTTGGCACATTCCTGTTACCGATACTTAGGATTTTACACCACTGCAACACCACAATACTTGTTCTAAAGTTGTCTGTTGATGATAGAGCCAACACCACCCCAGCACATGGCCAATGTTCGCAAGGTCTGGTGCTACCCTGTACAGTTCTCCACACCCTGTCCTAGACTACCGACCATCGACTACCTGCCTGAGAGAGACCAGCCGCTATTGAGGTTCCAGGGTGACACAGTCAGCATCAACACCACCCACTTGCACAAACTGGTAAAATACATAGGCTAGTTTGGATACCACTTTTAGCGTTTAGTCACTAGTCATTTGCCAAATAGGTTAAAAGCCCAAACATTCCGGATTTTTCAAGGAATTTTTCCAGACAAGAAAATGTTAAAGTTGTTTGCTAGCTAAAAATTAAAACTGTTTTCCCCATTTTAGGGGCTCAATGAACAATGAAGACAAATTACTTGAGGTCTGTGGTACAGAACAATTTAACGTTGGTATGATCGCTTATTTGTACCTCGGTTCTTGATACAAAATCAGTACAGTATGTAGTTACCAGTATTTTGGCCGCTTTCTTCTCTTGTAGTATTGGTTCTACAGTATTAGAACCGTTATTTTAAATTTTGATATGTTGTGTGTAATGAATTCAATATCATACTACTAAATTACAAACATAAAAAGTAAATGTATATTTTGATTTTGGAAAGATGTAGTCAACATAACACTTTCCTGTGTTTCCCTAGGAACAGCTGTACAGGTTCAGCTGTTTTGATGACAAGAAGTTTGAGCTGTTTCTGCCGCGGGTATGGTGTCTGCTCAAGAGATACAGCACGTTTGTTGGCCATAGTGAGGCGACGCAGGCAGCTCTACCGGTCACTGTGCTGGAGAGTCTAAACCGCATGTTTGGAGTGACGTTTGAGTGCTTCGCCTCCCCGCTCAACTGCTACTTCCGCCAGTACTGCTCTGCGTTTGCAGACACAGACTCTTATTTTGGCTCCAGAGGGTTAGTGATGTTGGGATTGTTGTAGCAATTGTAATCAATTACACACTTCAAACAGTATACATACTGTTGTAACTAGGCCTATTTTATTTTTAACATTGAATTTAAAATTTTTGAGAACAGTACAGTAAAACCACTTTCAACTGCATGTTAAACCAAATCCCAGGACCAATAATACCCTGATAAAGTTAAGAAAACAACTGTTTATCAGGCTTATTTTAAGAAACGTATTTTTGCTATGAAATTTTAATTTTAAGATTACAGTAAACTAATGTACAAAAAACTGTTGTGCATCTCTTTGAACTGAAATAGCCTTCAAATTCTGACCATTGATTAACCAAAAAAAGTTTTCCAATTACGGACTTGGTCGCTATATTTGGTTGATCGGTGATTTACTGTGCAAGTTTTCTAGCAACTTCTTGCCTCACCTTTTGCATTTTTTGTTGGATAGATGGATGAACGTTGAAGAAAACATACCATTACAGTTGTGACTGATTTTTTACCCGATATAACATAGTTGAGTGTGCTAATGTCAACACTTTATTTGCTCTTTTAATTTATGATATTGTGACATTTTAAGTGGCATAAAATATGCAATAAGTTGTCCTTTCAGTTTAGCTTGTTTACGTACAGAAATTGTTACTTGACAGCTGGTCATTCTATCATCAGCTCAGTTTGACTACTACATTTTAATACTAAAATTGCACACAACTTAAAAATTTGTATTGAATGTCTAGTTCTACAGTCAAAGATTGGAGTTGGGCTACAAATATTTACTCACACAAGTATAAACTTCTTGGACACAAAACTGCCCATTACTTTCTCATATAGGCCCTCATAAAGTGTCTAATAATTTGTTTTAATAATTGTCAAAGTGTGTACTAACCATTATATTTTCTTTCAACCTGAACATTATTTGGCTCTGTTTAGAAAAGCCATTCCAGCCACTTAAAATTGTTTAAATTTAAAATTCTCATTTTACATATTTGAATTCCACTTGGCCTTACCAAAGAAAGCTATTAAAAGCTACCTCGTTTGCAAGTTATTTTTTAAATGTTGGTTGTATGTGCAATATATAATGTTGTTTAGGATTCAAACCATTCATCACTTTTTATTTTTACACACAGACCATGAACTAACAATCCCCAGGGAAAATATGATTGTATTACAGTATTTTTATTTAACTACAAAATTGTTAAACTTGTCAAGCAATAATACTATACATTACAACTTAATAATATATATTTATATGTCTGTTTTTGTTAAATTTTTCAAAAGCAAGATGTAACAAATAAATATCAAATCAGTTATTTCATTTTTATTTGAGAAATTTGGCCCAAACAACAGGAGTTGGTTACCCCTGTTATATACAGCCACCAATTATTTGTGTTTTAATGTTATAGTCCACTGTTGGAGTTGAAGGCAGTCAGCGGATCTTTCATAGCCAACCCTCCATATAGTGAAGAACTCATGGAGGCCATGGTCAGCCATTTTGAGAGGCTGCTATCCGACTCAAAGTAAGCCATTCTTGTTTGTTACTTGTATAAAAAAAACATACGTTGAGTGCCATGCATATTTATACAGAGTGAATATCCGACCGGTAAAACAAGGAATTGTACATAAATCAATTTGGATGACCGAGAAAATATCCCTGGATTATAATATATATGAATTTTGTAAGGGACCTGGAAGTATTAATTTTTGAATAATCGCCTAATAATCTGCCTTATATCACCAATTTTTCCTCTTATACACCATCAAAAAGGCAAATCACGGACGACCCACCTGTTGCCGGGATTGCAGAAAATATCACAAATTTGGTCCCGATTTGCAATATGATCACATATGTGGGCAAGGGTGTTGAGACGATTTCAGGTGTTGCTGCAATCACAAAAAATCTTCACACATTTTGCAGCGATCGAGAGATTGAGTTATGAAGATGTCAACCGGTACAGAAGGTCGTATTAAAATATTGGTATCTAGAAAACTGTCAAAGAAAACATCTCGAAGTTTTAAAACAAGATTCAAAGAACATCTACAAGCATTGAAATAAAAAAAAATCTAACATCAATGAAGTCGAACTTCGCCGACCATATAATGAACTCAGACCACAGTTAAAAAAACATGAAAAAAATTTTAGAATATGAAAAAGAACGTGAGAAACTTAATGTAAGAAAAGAGCTAATTATTTATCTACACAATAAAAAGGACCCAAGGACATACTTAAGGCCTAACACAATGATTCCAAAACTAAACCAACCTATCTACGATAAAATTGAAAAACTGAGGAAAGAAAGAAAAACATTAATATAGTATAATGAAAAAAATGAATACAAAAATTTATTAAGATATATTTAACATATTTATTATTTTTACAAATGATTATATTTTTAATTTTTGTAGTTTTAATTAGTAGCCCTAAACATGCAAGTAAATAATATATAAATATATATATATATGAATTTGAACGGATGGTGTTTTTGGCCTCTAGGGACCTCAAGACAAACAAAAAATCGGTCCCGCGTCCAGGTCTTACCATGAGTACTACGGTAATAGCTTATTCCCTATATGGGAAATTCGCTAACAAAAAAGATTTAAACTTAATAATTACTGAAATTAAAACATTCAAAGATAAAGAAACTGTTATAGTTAAATTTGTATAAAAATGTATTTAGGCTATTTGATATTCTACATATTTTATAATTTTACTTGTTTGTATTGTAGACAATTTTATAGAAATTCAGGCATATTTATAAAGATTTCATCAATATTTTAGGTTTTTTCAGAAAATGGCCTAAAAGAGGCAAAATTTTAACATATTAGTAGGCTATTGAAAAAAATTAAATTTCATTAAATTGGCCTAGAAGTAACATGATACTATCTACTTATAAATATATATATATATATATATATATATATATATATATATGAATTTGAACGGATGGTTTTTTGGCCTCTAGGGACCTCAAAATGAAAAATTTAATCGGTCCCGGGTCCAGGTCTTACTATGAGTACTATGGTAAATGGTAATAGCTTATTCCCTATATGGGAAATTCGCTAAAACTGATTCTATACTATATAACCAATCTATATAACTAATACGCCACAATGAAATTTTTCGGTTGAACTCCTCCGCCATTTCTTAACCGATTTTATCCATTGACGTCTCATTGGAAAGAGCGGGTCCCGTAGATTTGCAAACTGACCTTACATTTTTGAAAAAGTCCCTTGGGCTCTGCCCCAGTGGCTTTTAAAGTTCCCATGTTATCCTTATAAATGACATATTTGTTTACATTATGATCAGCTGGATATTTCATTGCTGTTAATATTAAGCTGCGATTCAAAGAAATGCAATCTACAAAAATTAAATCATTGAAAGATCCCATTTGCAAATTATGGAGGCATAAAAAGTCATAGAATGCCACAGAGTAGAAGAAAAAATATATAAGGGCTTCGTCTATCTCTGTCTGCCTCACTCAGATAAAACTAGATTACATTACGAAAATATTAAAACTCAAAATATTGATTTGTTGGTAGAAATTCTTATAACTAAAAATCTTACTAATTAATATCTCTTATTGACTAAACACATATGTTGTTTTCCCATAAAAAAAACCCCATAAAATAACAAAAAATCTGATTTTAGAAAAACGACCGGGTTTGATGAAATTAGTGTTTTATTTTATGGTTCTTGTAATTCTTAAAAAAATTTTGCAACCCCTCATTGCTGTAAAAATTACTGTTCAAAAGTTCTTGCAACTTTTGATATTTTCCCTATAAAATATCATAGTTACTCCCACCGCTTACCCGTGATAAAGGTTGTTGACAAGCTAATGGGAGAAAGTATATGTCAGATTGCTGATACCGTTTATTTAAGATACCTTTTGCAGTTCAGAAGATATTTTACTTGTTTCATTAGTGTTATTTGGCGAGCTGGTGTGTAAACTCTTGACTTTGTTTTAGCCACGATTTGTTAGAGTTGCTTGTTGTTGAGAGAGAAACTTTGGTTGAAAATGCTGCAGTGACTTGAAATATTCTTATTTTTGAGTATTGTGTGAAGTATTGCGTTTCTTGGGCCAGATTGGACTCTTCCCCACTCATGTAAGCTGGTTAGCTCCTGTGCTCTAAGTTACAACCAGTTGTGTTTCAGTGAGCCGCTGTCGTTTGTTGTAACACTGGCTGAGTACAGAGACCCTCCACCAGGGGCACTGCTGAGGCTCGAGGCTAGTCACTTCAAGAGGAAGCAGGTTGTGGTGCCTGCGTTTGAACACGAGTACCGCCACGGCTTCCAACATCTGGTCACCAAGTGAGATTATTGATAAATTATTTTATTTTTATTCTTGATTAATTTATTATGAAGCTACAGCACAATAATCATTTTTCTATATGGAAAATTAGTGATGGTCAAAATGTAAAAAAACAAATTAATTAACATAATTAATTAACAAGGTAAACATGATTATTAGAGCAGTTAAAACTTTTGGTCAATATTTATTTATGTTTACTAAATATCGATATTAAACTTTATTGTATGTTGTTCCAGTATTAATATTTGTTATTACAGTTCAGACTATTTTTTAACATGATATACATTCAATATTTTACTTTTGTTTGCCTTGTAGAGCTGAACTGAACGTCAGATCGTCTCATGGTACACTGGTAGTGTGGCTGCAGAACAACGCAGGGTTCCAGCGGTGGGGGCCTACTGAGGAGAGGGTGGAGGCGCTGCTAGACGCATTCAGACCGGGGAAGGAGAGAGAGAGGGATAGACAAGAGTTACTCTCCCCACAGAGGACAGATCCTCCACCACCAGCACCCACTGACAAGGTAGTCTCTGGCACTTTAGATGGGAATGTTTTTTTAATCAATTTTAATATCTATTATTTGCAACTGCCCATGATTGGCAATAAAACAAATTTCTTCTACATTTACCCCAAAACGTAGTAATATGTTATAGATAGCATAAAATTTGTTTTGTGCGCTCAACGAGACAACTTTTTGTTTAAATCTTGCTATGGTTTACCTTGTCAGCTGTTTTCGTAATTTATACCTGACACTATTAAAAGAGGGCTGTTTGTGAATTAAGGTGTCGATCAGGCTTCTTGTCGCAGTTAAACGGCCTAGTTCAAATCTGAGACCAGAAGTCCTGTATCTTACATCATCCACTAATACTCTAACCGGTTCCCACTCCGTAGGACAATTGTTCTCGTCAAAGAATTTGAAAACCTTGTAAAAAATAATGCTCCCACCAAGTATTAATCTATTTCTGTGATTAGGTTTCTGTATGATGGAAGCCAACCACTTTTGATTACTGTTGCCAGTAAACAGATGTGGATGCATAAAAGTGTTATGATGTAAAAAATTGTAATAAGTGGCTTAGGGAGTTCGCAGAAGGCCGTATACACGCTCAATGGATGGGGGGTGTTCATCAGTTCCCATTATGTTGCGTACTAGTTCATCACTTTTCCATATTTTCATTCAAAATTGATTTCAATATATATTATAATTTTATTTCTTCTTTGTTCTGAATACAATTTCCTATTTTTCTTTCCCATCCCAATTTCTTGACAGCTGAAAGTTATTTAATTTAATGTTTATTTACATCATATTTTGATTATTATAAAAAAAACATTGCATTTCTATCTTCAGTACAATCACTACATATCATTTTTTATTCTCAATTTATTTTATAACTCACATACAATTTTCATGTGATTTAAGCAAATATTACTCATTTTAATTTGAACTGCATTATACAATCCATATTGTGAACATCATTGTTAAATTCTACAAGGAAGAAAGACATTTTAAAAGTGATATTTTAATCATCAAGACATGAATGAACTTAAACTTAAATACCTCAAGAAACTATGAATCCATCAAGACGGTTCCACCAATGAACATGAAAATAATGATTGACATTTTTGGTGAGTTTCATCAATATTAAGTTTTTTTGTTTGTTTTTGACAAACTTATTTTCAGAAAATGAACAACATTGTATATTAAACTGAAAACCTTGTCTTGTTACTTTTTTCTATAATTATTTATGTAAAATATTTAGCTGACAAATTCCAACAATATCAATTTTGAATTGTTTCACTTCTTTGCCTAATTTAGGCTGGTCCTTCGATTTATTTCCTTTATTAATTTTCTTATTTCAACTACCTTTTCCCCACAAATTCTTGTCCAAATCGAGCAGGATTATTTTGTTATCAGCCCTGTGGCCTTATAGTCTATTATCGAAACATCCATCTTACTTCTCATTCCTTCTGTCCCTACGTGTCTGACTGTACGTAACACGCCCATTGCAATATGCCCGGCAACAGATCAACAGATTTCAAGTCTGAAACTTACATATGTCTCACCAACTTGACAAAGGCTAGATTCTCTCATCTTTTAGAGATTATTAACAACTATGACACACCTATTACCAAATCGGACTTAAGAAAATTGACCAATTACCGCAATGAAATTCAAAGAAAATATGACGATTTTCTTTGCAATTTGGAACGTGTGGTTCAAGTTCAGGATGAGGGGAACATTACTGAGGAGCGTTTGGTAGCTGATCAAAACAGTGTATCAGACTTGTTCATAGAGTTGACCTCTTCTATTGATGATATGTTGTCATCTGGCGATGAACAACTTAGCTTTCCTGGTTCGAACGCTGAATTAACTATACAGCATCAGTCATGTTCAGCGCGACTACCAAAACTTGAACTTCCTAAATTTAGTGGGAACTTCGCTGATTGGTCAAACTTCATCAATGTCTTCAATACGACAATTCACAAAAACGACACGTTAAACAAAGTAACTAAGTTTCAATACTTATTAAGTGTTTTGTCATCAGAACCATTGAACCTGATTAAAAACCTTTCACTTACTGAGGCTAACTATGACATTGCCTACGAAATGTTTTTCAAACGTTACCAAAATGACAGACGCTTACGCCTACTTCATCTCAATATTATTCTTGACTTACCAGACATTTCTAGTCGCAATGTTTCTGGAATTCGCTCGTTTGTTAACAGCTACAATGAACATATTCAGGCGTTAACTGTAATCGATTGTGACATCAGCAATTCTAACCATCTATTGACGGCTTTGCTACTTCGGAAACTTGATGTGGATTTACGCAAACGTCTTGAAACATTCCGTGACAACAGACAGGCTACAGCTCACACATTGCCCTCTGCAGAAGAAATACTTGAATTTCTCACGTCCGAATGTGATCGGCATGAGGATGCAGTTGCTACCACATCGTGTTTTAAAGAATCACGTATCTCTCATGTTCCGGAAAAACAGGTTAACACACGTAAATTTATAACAAGCCCAATATTCAACTCAAAACCTAAACCTCAACAAATTACGTTGCTGTGTGCTGGATGTGATGGCACTGATCATAAAACTTACAATTGTGCCAAATTCTTAAAACTATCACCACAAGACAGATTCCAGGCAGTAAAATCACATCACCATTGTATTTCTTGCTTAGGAAATCACAGTTCTCAAACATGTCAGTCTCAGTCAGTTTGTAAACATTGTAGTAAACGTCACAACACCTTATTGCACTTTCCAACTGAAGAACTGACATTCACAAATAAAGCTGGACAATCCAATTCACACAAACGTTCTGAGCAGTTTCGTCCATCCAATCTTAATACAGATGCACAAAATCCAATCACCTTGCATGTCCGTAATCCTCGAACCACCGTTTCACAAACAGCAATGGTCTTATTGGGAACTTAATTAATTAACATACGTAGTTCCAGTGGACAGGTTCAAACATTTCGTGCGCTTATTGATACAGGAAGCATGGCGTCTCTTATTTCTGAACGTGCTGTCCATTTACTGAATACTCCTCGAAGCAGATGTTTTACTCAAATTGTAGGCATCAGTCAGCAAAGTACGAAAACAAAGGGGCAAATTACAGCAATCATTGAGACTTTATCGGGAATTACACTACAGCCGAACCACTCATTTGTTATACTTGATAAGCTTACACTGAACATTCCTCGTTGTCCAGTAGCTCCAGAGGTAGTTTCACGCTTGAAACATGAACAATTAGCAGATCCTAATTTTCATCTTCCTAACCGCATTGATGTCATTTTAGGAGCATCTTTGGTACCTCATTTATTCACAGGTCCTGTTACATCACTCGGCAGCACATTGCCATCAATAATTAATACTCCATGTGGTAACATAATTATTGGTACTACTCCATGTACACCTGATACATTGCAATCATGCACATCTCAATCGAGTACTTTAAATATTTGTTTGCATACTACAAGTTTAAATGACATACACGATTCCATTCAAAGATTTTGGCTCTTAGAAGAAATCCCAAATCACAAACAACAATCCCAAGAAGATATTCATTGTGAAAAGTTATTCGCAGACACTCATAGCAGAGGAGAACTCGGTAGATACATTGTACGATTACCGTTTAAAGGCTCATCCAAAATGTTAGGTTCGTCCATTGATGCAGCTAAGCAACGTTTAATTGCAATGGAACGTAAGTTTTCACGTAACGAACGTTTTTCTATGCTGTATAAAGATTTTATGCATGAATACTTATCTCTTGATCATATGTCTCTCATAGATGTATCGTCATTAACTCGGCAACATTATTATTTACCTCATCACGGGGTGTTAAAAGAATCTAGTTCAACAACTAAGCTTCGCACTGTATTTGATGCAAGTTGCAAAATAGACTAGGCCCGTTTTCAAAAAAAGGCAATGCAAGAAGCATTTCATGTAACAATTGGGGAAACAACGTTTTTAGGGTATTTCGACCCTGCTGAGTACGAATCTGCCTGTTGCCAACGCGAAATTTGAACCGGAAGTGCGGTATCCAAGATGGCGGCCAAAACTCTGTTTGCCCCATATCTCCCTTGTTAGTTGGCCTAAAATAATGGTTTAAACGTGTATATAGGGGGTTTTCAGATGCCAAGCACATTAAAACACTCAAAATTAACTTAAATTAAGTTTTGAGGGCATATCTTCCAAAATGGCGCCCAAGATGGTCGCTAAAAACTCTAATTTACGCATATCTCCCTTGTTTTTTGGCTTAAAATAATTATTTAGACGTCTGCATAGGGGTTTTCTCGGATGCCAAACACATTGCAACACCCAAAATTTACTTACATTAAGTTATGGGGGCATATATTCCAAGATGGCACCCGAGATGGCCGCCAAAAACTCTTATTTCCATATATATATATATATCCCTTGTTTGTTTGTTTAAATTAATTATTTAAACGTCTACAAAGGTATTTTCTCGCATGTTAAATCACATTTCAACACTAATTATTTACTTTCTTTGGGTTTAGATGTTTCTAAGATGGCAATAAAAACATTATTGTGCTTACGTGATCTCCGTGCGTATTATTGTATTTAGTGTTTAAAACCAGTCAGATATCTATTAGTGGCTGAATATTTGCTACTATTTTTGAAATACTAATTGAAATTTAGCAATGTCAAAGTAGAAGGCAAATTGTTTAATGTACTCTAGTGGCACCGTAGATAACGCGTAGTATAACAGAACCTGTAATTAAGTAATTGTAGAATTAATTGTGTATGATGTTGACGAATCTATCACTTATTTAAGGTGTCCAGTTATGTAAATATATTTTAATTGTAAAATATAACGATGCCATACGTATGTTTTGTATGTTTTACGGCAATAAATAATTTGATTTGATTTGATGTTATTTGAACGTTTAGTCCAACAGAACCTGTAAAAATTATTGTTTAGACCATACCTAAAATATTGTATTGATCTTGTGGTACCACCCATCAATGGAGGTTTGTTTACCATGGGTCTC